GTTTTTTAATGTACTGGTAGCTAGTTGTAGTGCCGCTAGTTCTGCTTGTGTGGAGGTCAGCCAGTTGTTTAACCTGACACTGATAGTCTGTGTAAATATTATTTCAACAACATCTAAATGCTGCTGCAGTCCGTAGAATATTGGACTGAGCCGTCGGTGTAGACACAGTGCTCGTGAAATCTTAAATGTTCGATGGAGGAGGCAATTGTTTCAAGTGTGACAGTTTTGAGAAGAGCAAGATTCTCCATTATCTTGGTGACGGGTGTGTATGGTACTTGAATGGTGGGGTTATTTATTTCATATACACAAAGAGGAATATCGACGACGGGTAGATTGCTTTTAAAAGGAATGTTCAGTTTGATGAGTTTATTGTCATTTTTACTCAGCCTGAGATATCGTCTTTGGACGATTCGGCTGAATCGAAAGCAGAGGCGGTGTTCCTTGATGGATGAGTCGTAGTGGGCCATGGGGAGGGTGCTTTGTAGTCAAGATACCACCCTCGATGCCCCCACATTATATACATGTGATTTTATAATTTTTTTTATTCAAGGGATTTTAGTACGAATGTTTTATTTCATATATTATAAATGTCTTCTGTGTGTAAATCCATTCAGTTACGGAATTATTGATCCCAGTTTGCTAATAGTTCAGGAAAATAGTCTGATGGTCTGCTTTCAGCCACTGATACTGCTATTGAATTCAATAGGTTCTTCTCATCCATTGGGTCATCCCTTGCTAATGATATTCCGTCTTCCAGTACTAATGTTCAGGACTATCTTACAGGTAACTACCCACAGTCTCAGTACCTAACGCCCGCTAATTCCACTGATGTAAATGAGGTAATCCTTTCCCTTAAGACTAAGTCTAGTGCCCTTGAGGAGATACCAACTCTAATCTACAAAAAATCCTCCAGATCTTTAGCCCCTGCCATTGCATTACTCTATAACAAGTCACTTAGCAGTCTCCGTGGTGTAGTGGTAAGACACTCGCCTGGCGTTCCGATATTCTAAAAAAGCGAGAGTAACCCCAGTCCATAAAAGTGATGATCTCACTGATGTCAACAACTTCAGACCTATATCAATTCTGCCAAACTTGTCAAAAATATTTGAAAAACTAATCTATAAACAGCTTTACTCTTATCTAGCCAAACACAATATACTAAGCTCTTGTCAATATGGCTTCAGACCCAAAAAAAGACCTTAACGGTGCACTTATTAGTATGATTAACTTGATACATGCAGCTCTTGATAAAAATGAGTTCCCTGTTGGGATATTTGTGGACCTACGTAAGGCTTTTGACACTGTCAACCACCAAAACCTTCTTCTTAAATTACATCATTATGGAATCAAAGGTCACTCCCCGCAATGCCTTCAGTCCTACCTTACTGACAGGCTCCAGTATATTTCTGTGAATAATTCCATTTCTCTGACACTACCTTTAAACATCGTTGTTCCATAGGGCAGCATACTTGGCCCTCTTGGCATACTTTCTCATCTACATTAATAACCTTCCAAATGCTTCTCAACACCTCAAACCAATCTTATTTGCTGATGACACAACTTTCATCTTCTCCAGTCCTGACCCTCTTGCTCTAAATGTCACTGTGAATACTGAACTAAATAAAGTCCATCTTTGGCTAACTGCCAACAAACTCACCCTTAACATTGACAAAACTTTCTATATTTTGTTTGGTAATAAATCCTCAAATGAAATTAATTTAAGAATAAACAATATACAAATCAGTAATAAAGTTGATGGTAAATTCCTTGGTGTCCTCATCGATAACAAGCTGAATTTCCAGGGACACATTCTAAATATAGCAAAAAATGTTTCTAAAACTGTTGGTGTTCTTTCTAAGATCAGATATTATGTTCCTCGCCCTGCCCTGGTGACGCTCTATTACTCTCTCATCTATCCTTATCTCAACTATGGTATTTGTGCTTGGGGTTCTACTACCCAAAATCATTTACGTCCTCTAATTACCCAACACAAAGCTGCTATTAGAACAATATCCAACTCTGGCCCCAGGCATCACTCGGTACTCTTACTCAAATCTATGAATATGTTAGATATTAAGTCACTGCACATCCTCTCATGTGTACTCTATATATTTAAAACTCTGAATTGTAACGTCAATCCTGACCTTCAACGCTTCCTAGAAGGTTTTAACAGAACTCATGTGCACCACACCAGAAACAAATACCTATTTGATATTCTAAGAGTTAGACTTAATCAAACTAGGAATGCTCTACAAATCAAGGGACCCAGAATGTGGAATGACCTTCCCAATTATGTCAAAGATTGTACCTCTCTCAACCAGTTTAAGATGAAAACTAAGTACAAGAAATTAGTAAATTAACTCTATGGAACCTACCATACTTTTAAATGTCAACCGATGTCTTACTATTTAAAAAAAAAAAAAATGCTGTTTGTTGACCAACTTGTATATTGGCTATTTTCTACCATGTTTCCCCTTTTTTTTATCTTATTATTTTTTTTCATTCAACACAATTTATACTTTAAGCTCAATTACTATTAAGTTTTAGTCTAAGTATTTTTTTCCCCACCTCACCTTGCCCGAAATGCTATGCGTACTATAGTGGCTTTAGGTATTGTATGTACTACCTCTATCTTTAAATCTAACAGAATGTTTGTACTGTAACTCTGCAACTATGTATGTACTGTTCCTAAATAAATTATTACTATTATTATTAAAATATTCAGGTGACGTAAGTCTACCCAGTATTTTAACGATTTCCTAAATTGACAAAGAAATTGATATTCCTGTTTATTGAGGGTAAACGTTTGTAAACTAACAAAACTGGGAATTATTCTTATTACTCATTGTGTCGGGGGACAGGCAGCCAGTATATTTATACTCGTTAGGCTTATCACCCTCCTACCACCGTGGTCGAATTACTGACCCCTCCCAGGATGCAACCCCCACAAGAATCTAACTCCTGGGTGCCTATTTACTGCTAGGTGGACAGGGGTATTAGGTGAAAATTAACGTGCCCAACCATTTCGGTCCCACCTGTGGTGTTTGTGTGTTGCTGAGGAAGTCTTGGTTGTAGGGTTGACATAAAGCCATTGCTTGGTTACTGACTTTAATACTAATAATGATTACATGACTAGCAGCTTCCAAGCTGGTGGGCGTCCTGTATGCTTTCTTGTTTCCCTCCCTGCTGGCGTCTGAGCCGCAGTACATACAAACGGATGGTGCCATTTTCTATGAACATGACATCCGTCCTTTTCTTTAAAAAGAATGAATACAAGATGTCCACCATGCTTGTAGCACAAAGCAAAGTTATTGACACAAAGTAAGTTTTTAACATATCAAAAAATGTTGCATACATTTAACAGTAATTAAGCACAGAAAGAATTTAAACAACTTAATCTTTACCACACAGGATTTCAATGTTAAAAATACAAATGCAATGTTAAACAAAAATGAAAGAAACTGTAATACAAAGTTACAAAATATTGAATGAGAGATCTGCATTATTCAAACAATATTAAATTTTGTTCAGTATAACCAGTAAATACTTTGCATTACATAGGAACACAATTAATCATCAAATCGCTTAGGGCGTTTAACATGCTGTTTAGGACGAGAGTCCTTAAATACAAGAATATCCCTTTATGAATTGTTTGTCGGGTCAAACATTTTTTCTTTATCGTTTGTACAACTTTGCACTTCATCATTTTCTACACTAGTTGGAATCACTTTGAAATAGACCATATTACGTGTTATACTACGATCTCTATTACTAGCTGTTACCATAGTTCCTTTTACACTAATCACTTTATATGGTTTTGTATCATACGGCATATCTAGCTTTCCCTCTTTTTTCTTTTTAACGAGAACAGTATCTCCAACCTTTATGAATTGTTCCTTTGCACGTTTATCATGAGCAATTTTCATTTTGCCCTTGGCTAGTGCATCCTTCTGAGCGAGACGTGTATCCGTTACCTCGGCTGGCATGACAGGTAGTGTGATCCTCATAGGACGTCCAAATAAGAGTTCGCCAGGCGACTTCCCAGTGTTCCATGCGGTGTTGCACGGTAGTGCCTGAGAAAAGCATACATAGCTTGTTTCCAGGATCATCCTTCGGCATGAGCACAGCGTACCGCTTTCATGAGGTTGCATGAATCTCTCGACTTCTCCATTTACTTGAGTATGTAGTGGCATCACACGGCGGTGTTTGAATCCAATATGCCCAGCAAAGTTGACGAAGTCTTGTCCATTTAATGGCTGTCCATTGTCCATCGTGACAACTTCAGGAATGCCAAAATTTGAAAAGATCTTGTCGAGCTTCGGGATGACAGCCTTTGCAGATGTAGAAGTGATGATTTCTACTTCTGGATAACGTGAGTGATCATCAATGACTACCATCAAGTACTCTCCAGTTGGTAGTGGTCCGCAGAAGTCCATCGATACTTCCATCCATGGTGCAGCAGGTAAGTTGTAGAGGTGTTGATCTTGAAGTATCTACTGCAGCTTGGCAAGGGACACAGGCATCATGCATATCCTTTGCTTGACGATCAATGCC